ATAGCGGAGTGGCTTTTCTTGTGGATGGCGCAGAGCACACTTAAATTCCAGTCTTCGGGCATGCGTTCGTCTGACCATATTCTGCATAAGAGTTGATGCATGCACCTTATCAGCTCCTCGCCGCCGAACTTGAATAGCTCGGCTGGCAGGCCGTCAGCTCCAGCAGCTTTGTTGTTTTCAGCCGCGTAATCGCTATTCGTGCCTCGTCATAGTCAGGCGGTGGGACAGCTACTCCATCATCATCGACTGGGGGGTTCGTCTTCTTCACTACTTTCAGCGCTGCTACCATTCAGTAGGTTGTAAAAGTGTTTCCTCCACAATTTATTTATTTATTTATTTATTTATTTGCTTATGAAGTCTACCAACAGGATGTTCTTACAGACTACACATATTAGAAAAAATTACATATTATAAAATATTATTGGGATTACTTAAATAAGATTCAAGCCGATTTCGGAAAATACCCTTTGGCATAGAGAGATCAAGGTCTAGAGAACTAGAAATCGTATTGATTTCTTGCAAAGTTCTATTTAAGGGAGCATTTCGACAGTAAAGAGTTTTGCTAATAGCGACTCTAAACAAATCAGAATGCCGCAAAATTCTGCTAGGAACATTGAAATAAATTCTGCTGAGCAGTAAGGGGCAATCAACGTTACCGGAAATTACATCGAAAATGAAGGAAATGGACAGGAAAATTCTTCGGTTATGCAATGGCATTAAGTTAATTAATTGACAACGTGAAAAATAGGATGGGATAGGGTCGGAGAAGTTAAGCGATCTTAAGGCGTGTCGGATAAACACGCGCTGGACTGACTCAATCCTGTTTATGTGGACTTGGTAATAAGGTCTCCAAATAAAGGCAGCGTACTCTAATCTTGACCGAACAAATGCAGAGTATAAGACTTTGTGAGTGTAGGGATTCAAAAACGCAGTACTGTTGCGTCTTACAAAAGCAAGCATCGAAAATGAATTAGCTACGATATAATTGACATGCGTAATGAAGGTAAATTTCGAATCGAAAAATACTCCGAGGTCCTTAACTACGTTGAGAGACTCCAATCTAGTATCAGAAATACGGTATGATGTGGATAGCGGTGTAGATTGTTTTGAAAACGTGATTTGGTTACATTTTTTAATGTTAAGAAATAAGCGATTCTTAACACACCACAAAAATAATCTGTCAAGATCAGCTTGAAGTAGAAGCGCGTCATTATAAGATCTAATAACTGAGTAGACTTTTAAATCATCTGCGTATAAGAGATACTTAGAGGTAGCAAAGCACGACCCGATGTCATTAATAAATATTAAGAAGAACAATGGGCCCAATATACTACCTTGCGGAACTCCAGAGGTGAGCAAAAAGGTCTTCGAAGAAGCGCCATCTAGAACAACAGAACTAGTTCTGTGTGATAGATAGGTCTTTATCCACTGAAGCATGGACGAGTGAAACCCAAGCTGCGAAAGTTTACTAATTAAAATCGTGTGCGAAATTCTATCAAATGCCTTGGAAAAGTCCGTGTATATTGTATCCATTTGATACCCTGCAATGAAACTTTTAATACAGTCGTCAGTAAAAACGGCAAGATTAGTTACAGTGGATCTACCTGCAACAAAACCATGCTGATTGGAGCAAATAACCCGCGGTAAAGTATAAAACAGCCTATTTTTTATTATAACTTCGAAGAGCTTAGAAACTGTGGTTAGCTTAGAGATCGGACGGTAGTTGCTGACATCACTCTTATTACCGCTTTTAAATATCGGCGTGATGGAGGTATGCTTCCATTCCTCAATAAAGATGCCAGACGATAGCGATTTATTAAAGATAAATTTCAAGGGTTCCACTAAGGAAACGCATTTCTTTAATAAAATAGCAGACATGCCATCTTCGTCTGTATGACAAGAATGTTTAAGATTCTTAATACCATCTAGAATATCTCCGTCTTTGAGAATCAGAGAGCCTACATCGAAGGAAGCACACTCCATATTGTTAGTGTCACTATCCGCAATTAGCTCACCAACCCCATCATCTGATACAAAATTTGAGGCAAAAAAATCAGCAAAAAGGTCAGCTGCCTCATATAACGAGGCTGCCGTAGCATTCTTATAATAAACCGAGGTGGGAACGTTAGATACACCCTTCATAGACTTAATGTAGTTCCAGAAACATTTCGGATTGCTTTTAATGTTTCTTTCAAAATTGGCAATGTAACCCCTATAGCAGGACTTATTGAGAGTATTAAACTGATCTCGGTAACTCGTATAGGAAACAAAGTGTGTGCTGTCCTTAGTTTGCTTAAACTTTTTAAAGAACTTATTTCTTAGATTCTTAAGACGCTTCAACTCCCTCGTGTGCCAAGGTAGCTTGTAAGACATTTTGGCATGAATAGGTATATACATCTTACTTAGATTAAAAATAATATTCCTGAATTCATTAAAACAAAAAGCAACATCGCCTGACCCAAAAACATCATTCCAATCAATAGATGAGAAGGTATGGTCAAGAAAGTCAAAGTCACAAGAGCCATAGTTAAAGGAAACCCTTTGCATATCTCTAGGAATGCAAAAGTATTCAAAAAACTCAATCTCCAATATTAAAGGAAAATGATGCATATTAGGCGGGGAAATTGCAGTAACGGGAAGATATAATTTAAACTTAATGTTATTGCTAACAAAAATTAAGTCTAAGATCCGATTTAGACTATTGGAGAACCCATTGACTTGTGTTAAGTCGATACTTAATAAATTATCAACTAAGTAGGACTCGGTATTACTGCTTATATTAGATGGAGTTAAATACATGTTGTTGTGCAAATAGGACCACGAAATATTGCTAAGGTTAAAGTCCCCTAAAACACATAACTGGTGAGCACTAATTTCCGATTGCAGAGCAATAATGTTATCGACATGAGCACTATAAATGCGATCCTCACTGGCTGGCGGAATATAAGATGCGCAAAGGTACAGCAATCCGGAGGCACCTTTTAGTCGCACACAAAGCTGATCAAGCATGGAATCGGTGCATTTTAACGCTATTGAAGACGCTTGAAGTTCACAACAGGAGGCAATGAGCACGCCCCCACCTCTACAGCAACCAGTTTTTACGGCATCTCGATCCTTACGGAAAACGTCATAGCGGTTCAGATTAACAAACTCAGCATCGAAAAATTTTTCATTAAGCCATGTCTCGATAATGACAAATACGTCATAGTCCAATTGCGAACTCAGCAGGCGCATATCCTCTGACTTGGTTCTTAAACCTGAAGCATTGTGAAAGTATATTTTAATAGATTTGCGTGCATTCTGGACATCGGTCACTAGGTCGCCATTGTTATTCTTGCGGGAGCTCGCCCCAGTCTCGAAACCTTCCGTAAGTCGCCTAACCCTCTGGTAGAATTTTCGGGCGTTCTTCCTGTCGGCCAGCATCTCAAGCTCTTCACACTCACCTATTTCGGCCTCTCTCTCATTGCGGCAAATACGTCTCGCTTCCCTCTTCAGTTCCCTATAGCGGTCCCATATAGCGCGTGTTGCGCCAGATCGCAGCGTGGCGCTGTAGGCGGTATCTTTTTTCTCTGCAGCTTCCTGACGCTCCTCATCGTACCAGTTGTTCCTTGGGGCTCGCTGCAATACGACTACTTATTTGGCGGCGGTACTTAATGAGCGACAGATGTGGTTCCACTGCTCGCATATGTCAGTTTGTTGAAGAGTTCTCTCTGAGTGCAGGTGTGAGAGTCGAGTAACGAATGTATTGGCTGTCTGTTGTGATTGCAGTTTTTCGACGTTAAGCTATCCTTGCATATTTGGGCACACATTTTTTACTGCATAGAGGTGGGTGCGTATCTTGGCTGCAACAAGATAGTGGTTGGTCATCGGAGTGTACTTACGTCTAAAACACTGGAAGCGTGACTTCCGTCTACCGCAACATGATCGATTTGGTTTCTCGTTTTTCGATCCGGAGACAGCCAGCCAGAGTCAAGTCCTTTACTCGAGGTGATTTGGGGAACGTTAATTTTTCAAAGAAATATTTGTAGGCCTTATCCGTCATGGGACGAAAAAGGAATGTACAATTTCTAGTTTTAAGATATGCAGAAATTCCGCAGCCAAGTAGGCGCGTTCTCCAATCCGAAATATGCTCATATCTTGCTAGCCCAAACACATAGCGCGTGATGTGGTTAAATACTTTATATATCCATTTTGTGAGCTAATAGGGAATCTAACCTGTAGACTACTTCAGAATAACAGATAATTGACAATATGAGTTGGATTTTGAGTTTACGTCAGATTTCTATCTGTGTGAATCGAGCAGACATTCGTAAATCCCTTGAAGTATTAGTGGTATTCACCAAATTGAGCAACTGGCCTGGCACTCGGGAAAAAGAGCAGGTGAGCTCAAGCATCGACTGACTTTTGCCAGAGTGCCAGGACACTTGCTCAATTTGGTGAATACCTATATTCTAGACTTTGCTTACTGTTGAATTCACATGGCCAATGCAGGTTAGTTACTACTGCTGGGTTAAGACGTTTCTTACATATAGGTAACACAAAACACAACTAAGACGAACACCATTTAGCAGTGCCCAGGGCCTAATAGACATCACTTCCCTGTAGAAGCCTGCACACTAATTAGCTGAGTGCTTAAGCGGACCTGACATAGAGCTGGACATCGTCCGCATTGGCAAGCATATTGGCGTGCATAGCAATTCGAAATATGTCATTAACAAACAAATTAAACAACAGTGGTCCTAAGCTTGATCTAAGAATGTGTGGCACCGGTAAACAATGGTCGTAGTTCAGATATTTGAGATTCAACCTTGACACGCTGAGACCTCTTTTTCAGATAGCTATGCCTCAGTTCCACAGCTGACTTTCCAAATCCAGAGTAATTTTTAAAAGTAAATCACTGTACTCTGTCTGGCTAGAAGTTTGAATGAATTCATGCAGCCCTCTAATATGTATGCATGTATATTTTAAAGTTACTTTTTTTTTCATTCTTCTATTTGCAGGCAACGTTGCGTATATAGATAATCTAAGTGGTGCGACAACTTTGGCCGATGGCAATTATATAGTTACAGCAACAAACGCTGGATCGCTGGATGCCGAACAATTGGTAAGCAAGGCCGTTACCGTAGCCGCTGCCGCTGCTGCCGCCGCTGCTGCAGCTGGTGGTGGAGGCGGCGGTGTAGGTGGTGGCAGTGGGAGTTTCACCCGAACACCAGAAGCGGACAATTGTGCCTGCTCGTTAAACGCAATGGTTATTTGCCAACAATGTGGCGCATTCTGTCATGACGATTGTATGAGTGCATCGAAGGTGTGTGTCTCTTGTGTGATCAGATGAGAGGATGAAGTCTCTGTAATAACCTTTTAGGCCTTGCGCACATTGAGTAGAAGTTATTGTGGTTCTGCACTAAACAAAATACAACAATAGATATACATATAAATATAAATATATATAAATAGATATATAGAATATACGTAGATATATTTACACCAATATATCAACTAAAACACGAATTCTGAATTCTACGAAAAAAAGCAACAGCAAAAAGCATAACATAAATAACTCAAATTACCAGTTGGCAAATGCATAAATATGTATGTAAAAAAAAACAAAGACGTTGCTCTGCTAAAAATGCTTTATGCAAATTTACGCTGAAGTCCAAGCACATATGTATTGCTACCGTTCTTTTCCATCATGCGATGAGATAGATGTTAGCGCTTGCACATTAGGTTCGAGAAGCTTAACATTACTTGATTTTTATTTTTACATATATTAGCGGGTTAAAGGTAGAAAATATTCGAGGACATCAACTCGCAGTTATGGTGAAACAGCTAATTCGATATTCAAAAACTGTAATGGAAAAAGTTCAACTTAATTAGCATATTGAGCCATGAATTTAATGCTGCTGCATCTCTATTTCAACCTTCAAACTCGTATGAATTCAACATTTTCTTAATTTAGTATAATAATTTGTTTAGTAACCAATTTAAATCGTTATTTGTTTTTTAGGCATCAAGATCTTTCCTTCGAAAATTTTAGGACGAAATTGTTACATAATACATGATAAAACGAGTTATTCTGCAGAAATCGTTTTTTGAATTGTGACAGCTTTCTATTTTTTATTTAATAAGCGACAATTAGTACAATATTCTTAGTGATATGCTGAGTCGGTACTTTTAAGTATTGATCCATACTCGGTACCGATTTGGAAAGTATCCGATACATTCGGTACTCGGTACCGAAATATTGGAATTTATAATAAGACTCACAAATATGGGAAAAAAGCTGTTAAGTGATCGTTGAAGTTTCTATGAATCTCATTAATCTATGGTTAAAGAAATCTATTTCTCCACATTGTTTGGATCTGAACGCTCTCGTCGCTCGATTAATATATTCCCCATTTTTGAAAGTTTAGAAAGGTTCGCTTGGAACGGTCGTCGTAACAATAATAATATTTTAGCGCTTACACTTTTGCTAAGTATTTGGCCGACCTTCACTTCCAATTTGTGGTGTGTGTCTTGATGTTATATTCAAATTAGACAGAAATACACTCAACTGTTAACCGGACCAGGGATCGCACCCTGTCGCCATAAGTATTACGAATTAATAATGTTGCCACAAGAACTGTTGCAGTTGCTAAGACAGTTGCGATAAGTTCAAGAAGGCTCAAATACTAACATACATATTGCTCATCTTCTGAGAAAGCATCGTCTTGATTTGTAGGCTTTTTTTTTGCTTTGACGATGTCATATAAAATTGCAACGACATTTTTTTCTGCAAACTTCAAAAGTATGTATATTATGATGAAGGTTTAATGTATCGAATCGGTATCGGGTACCGAAAAGAAAGTATTGGGTACCGAAATTTTTTTCAAGTATTGGGTACCGACAATTCAGCACATCACTAATAATCCCCCGAGTATCGAAACTTTGAAGTCTTTTTAAGAAGGATTGCTGGCGTGCTTGTGGCATAAGTTTTGGCTAGTATTGGACGAATATAAATTCGGCGGGATTGTCGTAATAGGTGTCTACGTCACAAAACAATCCGAACTTGGTATTGCTTAATTTGTTTCTATACATACAGTATTGGACATACAGATGCGTGCAACTAATTAACAACGACATGTCTCTGTAAGATCTATGATCTCTTCTGTATAATACTCAACACCTAAATTGAAAATTTTTGCTAAAACCCCCTTTTTGGAAAGTATATTTAGATTCAGCTGTCAAAAAAAATTCAATAAAGCTCCCCCATTCTGAAAAATTGCAATTTTTATGCAAACTCGGCAAAAGATCGTGCAACACTAAATAACAACGCTCTGTTTGTATGTCCTTTTTAAGTCAATATTTGGTTGCAAATCCATTACTATCAATCACGGCTTAACATTTGCGAGGCATTGACTCCACTAAACTTTTTGGAAATGTCCTGTGGAATAGCATCCCACTCTTGTTTAACGTTTTCGTACAAGTCCTGGAAGTTTCCAACTTTATGAGAACGAACCGTTTTCTTCAAATGTGTCCAAAGGTTTTCAATAGGGTTTAGGTCTGGACTACATGAAGGCCAGTCTACGAGGGTCACCATTTTGTCCTGAAACCATTGCTTTGTAGTCCGCGTGGTATGTTTAGGATCATTATCCTGTTGATAGATCCATGTAACGGGCATGTTGACATCAGTATATGGTAACATCACGTTGTCCATGATTGTTCTGTACTTGAACTGGTCCATGTGGTCATCTATTTTGTAAATAGGACCAAAACCACGCCACGACATGGCACCCCAAATCATTATGTTGCCGTCACCATGTTTTAATGTGGATTTGGTATACCTAGGGTTCAGCTCCTTGCACTTTGGTCTGCGGACATAGCTTTTCCTGTCTGAAGAAACTCGTTTGTAGTCCAGTTACGGTATTTCCTGGCAAACTTTAATCCATTTCTTCGATTGCGTTCGTGGGATAACGGCTTTTTCCTTGAACATTTTCCAAAGAGTCCTGCTTCACGTAAGCGTCTTTTTATGGTATCCACAGTTAGCGCTCTCTCATTTTCTCCGAAAACTGCAACTCGTATTTGATTCCCCGTCTTGTGGGGATCCGTTTTCGTCTCGCGCACAATCAACTCTTCCTCCCGCGTAGTCGTTTTTCGTGGTGGTCGTGGTCGTGGGACTTGCTTTGTAATTTTATTTTTAGTGAAATATTGTACTGCATTGAAAGCCATCCATTTTGAAATATTTAGGGCGTTTGCAATGTCTCTGTAAGATTTCCCACCCTGGCGCATCTGTACGATAATAGCCCTAGTTTCCTCCCAACACTATTTGCGCTTAGCCATTTTGTTTTCAACTAAAACTATTAAGTTCATTATAAATAAACTATTTTGGTAAAAATATAAAAAGACTTACCGTAATTCAAATAATTCGCAAAAATCTTAAGAATTTAACTCGCTTTGTTAATTAAATGCACGATAGCTTTAGTCAAATTTGCATAAAAATTGCAAATTTTTCAGAATGAGTGATTTTTTTTTTAATTTATTGACAGCTAACTAAATCTAAGTATACTTTTCAAAAAGGGGATTTTAGTAAAAATTTCCAATTTGGGTGTTGAGTATTATATAGAAAANAGGGGATTTTAGTAAAAATTTCCAATTTGGGTGTTGAGTATTATATAGAAGAGATCATGATAAAAATATAGCAAGGTAGAACCGTTCTCTCAATTTGTCGGCCATGATTTTTTTTTGAGTTTGCCAACATTTTAAAATCATATAAAAGTGAAAATAAAAAAATGAAATTGTTTGAAAATGTTGTTGCTTGAGATTGAAAATGAAAATGTGTGTTTGAGTTTGCGAGTAAATTTAAAAATCAAATTGTTTGGAAACGTCAAGAATTTTAAAAGTGACTCTCAGCGGTTCTACATTACTATATTTTTAACATGGAAGAGATCATGAATCTTACAGGGACATGTTGTTAATTAGTTCCACGCATCTTTATCCATGGCAACACCAAAGTGATATTGTTTGCCACTTATGTTTAATTATTTAATTTTAAGATTTTTCAATTAAAATACAGTTCATTGTCTAACAAAACTCATATAAACCAAAGTTTCAATCTTTTTAAAAGGCTACAAAAAATTCAACAAATTTGCACCCAAATTTCAAACTTTATTCTCAGAAGTGCTGGAATTTTTTTAGTGAAAATGTGTTGCATTTTTTTGTAGTCGTTTAAAAAGTATTAAAATTTGGTTATATGAGAATGTTTGTTAGAGAATGAACTGTGTTTTAATTGAAAATTCCTAAAAATAAATAAATAAATAAATATGAGAAGCTTTATTGTGGAAATGCGTTCCAAGGTTTCTAATTGGCTGTCGATGTGTGACCGCTATTAGAAAAGGTTTTTTTTTTCCTTTGTCGAAGTGTGTGTAGAAAACGCATTTTTTTGCTTTGTTTGATGTTGTGCGGATCAAGAATATCACCTTGGTCCTACCGGTTGAAAGTCCGCGGCTCTAACCACTCGTTTATGGTGGCTGCATTAAGTAATATTTAGTATAAAACTCTGCGCAAAATGTTTTGAGGTGCAAGCTATCTCCAAGAAATAAAAATATACATAACTAAATTAATCAGAGAATTGTCTCATTTTTCAATTTAAACTATTATATAAACTCATTCTGCCTTAACAAATATGCATTTATTAAATTGTGTCTAGCAGTTCATCTCTACATAAATATCAGAATTATTTCAAATTGTAAAAAATTTTGAGTCTAAAAATGCAGCTTTCTTGCGTTTTTTTACAATTAGTTATTTTGAACTGAATTCCCACAGCACAAACTAATACTTACGAACTCTACCTTTCTATGTAGCTTTTTGGATTCATTGATAGCATTTTCTTAAACAACATTTTGAACATGTGTTATATGGAAGAAAATGCGCAACCCCCTCCACAAAAAAAAAATTCTAAAAAATCAACGGTAATGTTTTGCGACTTGAAAATTGCACTTTATTATACTAAAATTGAATGGGCTACAAAACTGCATACCCCAGCATTTTCTATATATTCTAATTAAAAATTTTGAAATTTTGATGACGATTTTTTTAAGTTTGATTAATTTTTTTGCAATTTGTGCAAGCTTTGCAACTTTTGTTATTGTGGTTTCTGTTATAGATTGAATTATATTTTAAATGAAAATTATTAAAAATAAATAAACATAATTTGCAAGCAATCTCGTTTTGAATTTCGTTGCTAATTAGTTGCACGCATCTGTACATACAGCTGTGTTCATGAAAATAGTAGTGCCAGTGGGCCCTAACTTTCAAAGCATCAACTGAAGTGAAAAACACAGTTTCATATTAAAAATTTTAAGCAAAGTAGTTATTAGTATTGGTAGGAATATTCACAGTTTCATTAGTACAAAATATTTATTTTTTGCCAC